ATAGATACAGGTTGATTGAACACTTCAACATGAACTTATTAAAATTTCATCCTTTCCTGTCTCGCACGCGCTCTGTTCTGTTACCAATTTGCTTTTCCCAACGTTCTTATGCTAAAATCACCAGTTCTCATCAACCGATAATGATCCGATCCCATATTAGTGCTCAAGAAAAGGAAAGCATGAGGTAAGAAACATTAATCCAGTTAAATATAATTCCATAACCTTAACACTCATCCTTGCTCTCATTAGACAAGCAGAAAAAGTACTGAAAAAATATTGGAACTCATTTAAGACTATAGTGAGTGACACATCCAAGAAAGTGCATTGAGATATTTTACCAATTATTTTAACTATTTTTTTTTTTAGTCAACCAAGAAAAAAATTTTATCTACCACTGGCATTAGTCTTGTATTTTTATACTTGTACTTCCCTCACAACAGCCCTGAAGCCCTGATCAGTAATACAAAGGATGTATTCAAGAAGGGAAAAATTGATTTGAAAGATTTCGATCAATCTATGCTGATCAAACGTGAGACCCTTGAAAATGAAATGAAGTCAATCTTGCAACCCTCTTTAGGGGGATGTTACTATCTAATTGTTGGCGAACCTGGAACAGGAAAGACAGCTTTGATTCGAAAAACCATATTGAATCTCCAAGAGCCAAAGGTAATTTACTCAATGTTTTCTTCCTTTTCAGTTTATTCACATCCAGTTTCTTTTTGATAGGGTGTTGTCCATTTTGAATGTCCCGCAGATCCAAAGGCATTTGCAACCAATTTGACAAAACACCTAAATTGTGAGTTATATCCGTTGAAACTTCGAGATATTATCAGAAAAGGTACTATTTGGTTCTTTTCATGATTTCATGGCAATTTACTTCACATTTTTACTCATAAAGGCTTCACTTGGCATGCAGAGCAAGAGGAACATCTAGAATATCATACTTGGAATCTTTTGAAAGAGCACCTTATCAAAACCGCCTTTTGCTACATAAAAGAATATAAACGCCCAATGGTTTTGGTTCTTGATCATGTAGACCGCATTGCTAAAAGGGATCAAGATTTTTTTGGGATGCTCCAAGATTTTGCAAAGGACTGCGCAGATAAACGCGCACTTGTCATTATATTTGTCATAAGTGAAGGCTTGGCCCAGCAACTCATGTGATGTAAGGTATAATTTTAATATCCTGCTATACGTGACTGTGTTGTTCTTACTAAATCTCATTCCTATTATTTAAAGCTCGCTCTGCCTGGACGCGGGCAACTATTCCCTTAGAAGTTGGTGATATTTCAGATGAAGAAGCCGTAAAATTACTTAAAGATTCTGGTACTGACCAAAAAACTGCTGAAGATGCAGTGAAATACCTGACCGGTGGATGGTTTGCTTTGTTGACTCAGTTCCAATCATTGAGTCAATATGGAGACAATCCTAAAATTTTGTTTGAAAGTATGTATTTGTTACAATCTCAGCTTCTTAACGTAAACAGCTTGTTTTGGTCTAACATTCTACTTTTATCAGAATTCAAGAAGCAACTGTTCACGCAGGTTAGGAGAGATTTGGATATGGTGGGACTTCCTAGAAACCACGAATTTTTCATAAAGCTTATCGAAATACATCGTATTGGCATTAAACAAGCTATAAACATTATACCTCTCAACATGATCCACAAACTTGTCGAGGCTAACATTCTCAAAGAACATCAGAACTACACAGTGTCCTTTCATTCACGTTATATCGATACCTACTTTAAAGAGGTAATTCTTGCTGATAATATTGCAATTTGATTCATAAATATTCTAACCTTGATGAATTTACTTTAGGTGAACAAATCCTAGTTTGTTCATTTTGTGAAGTTAGATTACACGTAGAATTGCAGATTATAAATACAATGATTTTTTATCTGGGTTAAATATTTATCATCTTAAATAAAAAAAGATTCAATAAAGAGAGATGAAAGCAAAAGCTATTTGGTAAGTATATGTATGCACTAGATATATCTCAAAATTTATGTGGACATTAATGTCTATATTCTATGCTTTTACTGTTGCGAACTTGAATTTCTTACTTGAATGATCACAAGTAAGATAGTATCCATTTTTTTTATTCCATTCACCATGTATTCCATGATTCACTTTATTATAAATATCATTATACATATATTATATTATATATTATATATTATCTATATCTTCTATATACATATTTTTATTACCATATATATTACGCAAAACATATATATACTACCTTTTTTCCAATGCTCTTTATTATAATTATCATATCCTCTAAAACTATTTCGGAATTTCAAATATGTGGAATTCTCCATTATGGATTTGATAATTAATTCTGGGTCTGGTTTGTCTTTATGACTAATAGGCTCGAAATCTGCGCTCATCTCTAGTTATTAATATTACATTAAAAGAAGTCAAATGTGATATGGCGTTATTGTTGTTTGTTTAGAATTATACAATTAATTTTTTCTTTAATGCACAAAAAAACTTTGAATTCATTATAATCCAATTTTAAACCATTATTTATTAATATTATTTGCAGTGTACCAATTTTCAATAATTTTTGCAGTATGAATTGGTGCACGTCTTGAAACAAATATCTAACAAACTCTACGATAGCAAATGACCCTCAAGTAGAGTTCCAAACAGGTCGGGCTAAGTCATAATAATATTATTGTTGATCGGTTGGGCTGGTATTTAAAGTTGTAAAGCATTAAAAAAAATTTATATATCATATATTTACATAAAAAAAAAGACATTCAATTAAAAATGAATATCAGATTCTTCCAAAAAGTGGTTCTGTCTTTCCGTTTCTTTCTTTTCATGATCTTTTAATAATAATAACATGCACATCCGAGATTTTTTTATTTTATGACATTATCATGCTCGAATTTTATTGAAAACATTTAAATAATTTGACAAATAAACTAATATTACATATAAATAAATTTATTGTTAAAAAAAATAATGAATTTTTTTTTGTAAGTTTGATTATTTTATTTATTATCAATTATTTGGAAAACTTCCAATCCTTTATTTTTTTTGATGTCATATGTGGATCACTAGAAATACTACCATTTGTATCATGGTCACCAAAAGCAGGTAAAAAAGAAGGACCACGACAAATTGCATAATTACAATCAATTATTATTATTAACATAGCTAAGTTCTGCAGTATTAATATCATTTTTATTACTTACATTAAATATAAAACTTTCGGTTGTTTTTTTATAAGCATGTGTTTCACTTCATTCAAGTGGATTATAACCACCAATTATTTGGTCTGAATTTTGTATTTTACCAACTACAAGTGTCTTGCTACTTCTTTCTTCTGCTTATTCTATAGATCCAAAAGAAGACGTAGAAAAAAAAACATTTTAAAAGAGCAGTATAATGAAGTTATGGATATTTGTTGCTTTTTATAATAAATTCGCAATCTTTTACACCCACGTCGAGCTATATACTAATATCAACATTTTTGTCTATATGGTATACATTTTCCTTTGAAATTTCTTTTTTCGCAACCATAACGAGGTGCAAAGTAAATTATACTTTAAGGCATGGCTTCCACAAGTATATTTTCCAACTGTAGAGTTGCTGAGGAAAAGCACCTTACGGCAGTAAAGAAATATAATAATGGACTCCAATCCGCCATAAAAATGTGTGAGGAGCAAAGTCTAACTGCGATTGTAAGAAATATGGAACATATATCTCAGCAGTTTTCGATGATGCCCCGGGTAAGTACTTGAAAATGATAATCATTCACAGTTATACTGAGTAAGATGATGTTTATTTGCAATGATGTGATGGAAGACAACATAGGCCTATGTTCATGCCCTGAATCCGGATGTACACAATAATTATAAGTGTACGCCTTAGCTCTGCAGAAAGCTAGCTCTGTAGACATCAAAAGGTTCAGGCGCATGAGTTGCATCGTCCGGGCATTTTGCTAGGTTCTATATGGGCAATGCCTCCATGTATCTCGTCATCGTCTGTCGGCGTGTTAACACGTTAAAAATATTTACTATAGAATCATGAAGACGTTTTAACAGTTCTGATTTTCGAAAAACACTTTATGATGTATTTGTCAAAATATTTCAGTACCTTAATCTATCTTTCACTTTTTACAGGATAAAAGACAACAAATTTTTAGCGAAGCATACCAGACGGAAAAGATAGGTGAATATGACGTTTGATTTTTTTGGAAAAGCCCAGCTTATCAGACCAATCAATAATACTCTCGAATTAGCGTGAAGAACAAGAAAAATGACAGAATCAAGATATTATCCGAAGAAATATTGCTGAAGTAGTTAATAATTGTGTAGGTGGTCTTACAAATTATTCGGAATGAGATAGTATAGAAGTTATCATTATGGACTAATGTCAAACTCTTCATCAGATCAATGTAGTAAATAGCAGTCGCTCTATGGAAATTGAAGGATGTTTGTGGATGCTTAGAAATGCTAGATTTGACTTCTATTGATTCCAACAATACGAAAAGTCTATGTTGATATTGAGCAATCCTTTCCTCTACCACTACAAATATCAAATACTCAGGGATAAGGATCTACTGAAGATCAATTGCAACGGGAAAGATTTTTACATTCCAGCTACTATGCATAAGTCAAAAATAAGCTTGAGATTCACTGTGTCAATGCAATTCTATCTATTTCCAAAGAGCCAGATGCAGAGCTAAAAAAAAACGCATGAGTTATGAGAATAAGTTAATCCATGAAAAAGAACTCGAAAAAGCATTATTCACTAGTATTCAATCAGTTTCTGAAATAATGGGGTATTATAATGATTTGCGTGATTGATATAAAGCAGAAATTGATTTTGAACTCCAAACCTTATGAAGCTTGATCCATGTTTTATACTTATGAGTCTAAGGAACAGATAATTTAGAGGCAAGAATACGACCACTTGCTCTAATCTTTTCTATCTCTTTTTGATTTCTCTTATATAATTCCAAAACATCTTCAGTCTTTTACGAGGTAATAGTTTCTTTTTTTGCTTTCGAAATTACACCTAGCTTTTCTGTCTCTGGATCTTTATCAACAGGAGGTTGAGGCAAATCAGAATTATGATCAAACTTGGATTTGGATTTCCTCTTTTTCTTCTGTATATCCGTGGTATTATTTTCCAACATAGATACTATTTCAGGAGAAATGATGCTTCGTATCTGAGTTGCTCGGGGATATATCATTTGTTGCTTACGTTCATGATTTTCTATGTATTCTTGAGCACGAGTATGAGATATGCGATATTTTTTTGCCATTGTGTTTATGGCATCGGATACTTTCCCCAACAACCTTTTGATTTCTTTGATTGCCTCATCAGATAGATATGTTGCATTTGCACTATAGTATTCTTTATGAATACGCCCCATAATTAAGTATTTCAGCAAAGCTAGTATAAAATGCTAAAAAATTTAGAAAAGTTCTGAAATGTTTGGACATATTTTATTAATACATACAGAAAAGTTCTGAAATGTTTTGAAATGTTTGGACATATTTTATTAATACATACAGAAAAGTTCCATTATATTTCATCATATTCCATTATATCTACTATAATTTGTTATGTTTAAGCAAGAATTGAAAAAACTCTGTTGACAATATTTTCAGCAATTGGTATTGATTTATTTTTCAAATATATGCAAAAACCATATGGCCAAAGTGTATACATTGCAAGATACCAAGAGCATGGAATCCAAAAAAATACAAGGGCAAGGGTATAGGCTCAGTAATGTCCGTGAACAAGAATTTGAGGAGGCATTACATGATAGTATCAAGTCCAATTCCGAACTCAGTAATGATTTCAAAAATCTCCAGGTGGTATATTCAAAGTTTAGTAACAATATCAAACAGAAGAATGCTCAGTTACAGCGCAATCTGAAGCAGGCTGGTGCAGATATTTACTCTCATGCTCAACAACATATATCTGTAGTCAAGAAATTGGGAAAAGAGATATCTAACTACAAATTTAAGAATAATCACCAGCAGATTGTTATTAATGATTATAATATCAAGTTAGTATACAAAATACATTATCAGAAAAATCGAGTGAATTAGAATTGCTTCAATCTGAAATTAAGACATTGGAAGCTAAATTAGATTTAGCACAAAAAGACTCATCCATGAAAGAATCCGAGGTCTTGTCCCTCAAATCTAAATTAGCTGAATTATCCTTAAAAGTTAGCGAGCTGTAGCAATTGAAATCGGAAGCCATACCTTGATTTTCATCTGACCCGATAGAGTTACCATCAGGAGAAGCAAAGCTTCGGATCTCTGATTCATCTGCAGTTAGTGGAGGCAACAAGAAAAATATATCAAATGTCTCACAAAGTGATGCTCCCGCATCTTAAACCTAAGCTAGATTTTAGTAAGTTTTTAAAACATAGACCTTGCTATATAGAAGAATAGTCTTTTTTTTGGCTTGGTTAGCAAATCATACTGATATTTTGCCAATTTTTACCCTTGTTAAAGGAATTAAACTCGATAATCTTAACCTTAAAGAATTACTATTTTTGAATATTTATAGAAATTATGACACGATATAGTAAACAAGATCTAGAGACTAGGCTTAGAAGAATAGCATCAATACGATATCTCAAAAAAAAATCTGGTAAAAGTGAATGTGCTAATGATGCTGGTTATTGAGAAGGAGGAAGGTGCAATTGAGGAGCAGCTTATAACTTGCAAGAAGATTGCAAGACTTTGGCTGAGTTCTTTGTTGGTATTACTGAATTAAAAAATGCAAGTGTTTGAGAAGAATAAGCAGAATTTGTTAACTAAATCCACTGAGATAATTAACGGCTTGCAGATGAGAATCAGTAATAATTCTTCCATTGCGGGAGTATGTATTATTTGAGTAAGTTTTACTGAAAAATTTTATTCAATAGTTAACAATTTTCATAGTGAGATAGAACGATTAAAAACTGATATTGAAAATGTTGAGTACAACGAAACAAAAGAATTAACATTGAAGAGGGAAATTTAAAAAGAAAAAGCAAGAAATGAACCCGATGATAATAAGAAAAAGCAATTCATCTTTCTAGCCGATCAAGCTAAAGAACAATGAAAGGAGGTTTTAGTATGCAAGAACTGCTCATTTAGATGATGATCTTAATCCTGATAGTCATATTGATGATTCTTAAAAGCAGTAGAGAATAAATTAAATGGTAGGAGCAAACCAACAAGACCAACCAGAACTTCTGATCCTAGTCAGTCAACAACTGAATTTGATAGTTATGGTGGCTCTAATCCCACTGCTAACCCAAGCACTTCTTATAGCAATTATTCAAATTCTAACAGTAATGATCCAGAACAAAAGCCTTTATGGAAAAATATTGAAAAGAATTATTGTTTGGCGGTGCTTTTTTATTAGGAGTTTGTTACATTCTTAATCGGAAAGAATAACCGTTATGAAAAAGCAACAAAGACAGATGATTCCTTCGTTGCCGTGGTAGGAATAGTTTATTACTTTCTTATTTACTACCCAAAGAAGAAAGGAAAGAAAAAGAGCAGCAAAGATTATTAGAAGAAGAAACGAGAATTTGAAAGACAACAAGTAGATCAAGCAGCGATGGAAAGGGAACAGCAGAAAGAACAAGAAAGTTTAAAAGTTAGAAAATATTTTAAAAATGCGAGGTGGTGAAGAAGAAATCAATATCTTTGATGTTGCCACTGATTTATACTATTCACTTCCCGACTACACTATGAAAAGAACTTAACGGATGAACAAAGAAAGAGCCTTAGTTAAAAGTAAAGGACATGGAGAATTGCATTTAGATGAAGAGACTAAAAAATTTCACTTTAATGATTTAGTAACTAATTGGGAAAATAAAGTTGCTTATAATCCCATAAGAGGTGAATCAGATCCTAACGCTAAGAAAGATAATAATGCTTTATTCTATGGCACTGGTGGAACTGGTAAGACTTTGTTAGCCAGAAGAGTAGCCTATATAACTCAGATCTTTATCCCTTAATCGAAATCAAAGGACCAGCTCTGACACCCCGCAATGAAGATTATAAAAGCGGTATTGATCCGCTCAACAAATTCATCTTTACTTTATGTGATATTGAAAATACTTTAGGAGATGATTACGGCTTTATGCATGAAGAAAACGGAGAAATTAGATACATTCTTTTTGTAGATGAATGTGATAATGTCTGCACTAATACTGCTTTATCAACTGATTACACTAAATTAATCTTTTTAAAAACTTGTAAGGAAGGAATAGATAAATCAGCCCAAAGCCAAAATCTTTGAATCCTTGCGACTAATTATCTTTATTTGATCGATAAGTTTGTTTATCGTGAGGGAAGGTTGAGTAATTCTTTAGACTTTAGTTGAACTTTAGGAGATTTTAAAAAATATGCGATCGATTTTAGCATTTTTGATCAGTTTCCCAATCATTGAACAAATTTATATACTTTACCCGATGAAAATAATCAGCGAGTGAATAAATTTAACACCATGAACTTCAAGAGTGATTTTTGCTTTTCTGAGATAAGTTCATTAGACATCCTGACGCCCTTAAGGAACTGGTTGAGGAAACCGAAAGAGATGAGAAAGACAACGAGGTAGTTACTAAAAAAGGAATTCAGTTAAGGGAGTTCTTAGAGTTCTTTTGGAGATTATCTGATAGTAAACAATTACATAATTTTGAAGGTAAATATTCTAAACCCAATAAACCAAAAATGGAAGAATTGATACCAAATATTTACAGAAGCCTTAGACACATGATTAAAAGAGATAAGAGAACAATTAATTCAAATTAACGTTGGAATGAGAACAGAAAAGGATGAATTTATTAACACTTTCAATGATAACACGATAAAAATAGCAGAACTTTTGACAGAAATGGCTAAAAGAATAGGATAAAAATCATATGACTAATACACAATCACTAATTAAACAAATAGAAACTAAAATACAAGAAACACCATCACTTATTGAAAATTACGAAAAACAACTAGCCAGCCATAAAAACAAACTTCAACCATTTATTAAACAATTATCGCAAATCAAAAAAAAATATAAAACTAAAAAATAATCAAAATAATGCGAAATAAATACTAAATAATTATGACAGGAATATACAATTTTTGAAGCTTTTACGGAGTTGCTACGGCAGCACTTTTTACTGTTCCTATTTGTGAAGCTAGTTTAATTCTTAGTCCTACTGCTAGAGGTATAGCGGGAAAGATTATCAACTCTGATGGTGGTGACAGTGGTAACAATGCTCTTGATAGAAGTCTAGAAGAATGAAAAATAAAAAATACCCAGTGAGAAGCACAAAGGAAAGCTGACAGAGAGAAAATAGAAAGACTAAGAAAAGAAGCGGAACAAGAAAAGGAAAAAGTAAAACACGACAATGAGGAAGTAGATCGTTTAAATACGGTTATTAATAATTTCCATGCTAGTGAAGAAGAAAAAAGCAATGCTAGAAAACACATAGTATTACTAGAAGACGAAAATAAAGACATTAAAGAGAAGTTAAGTAAAATTGGTAAAAAATTGATGATCTTGGTAAAACACCACCTCCGCCCTCTAAACCTTGAAATTTTCCTAAGTTGAGTTATGTGGATAAAACACTAATTGCTGGTGGAACTGTTTTACTAATCTATTTACTTATTCCGGAGAACAAGAAAAAATAGTGTTTTTTTTTTTGCTAAAAAATAAGTTTATATATATGACTTGTCAACACGTTGATATCTGTTGAGAGGATTTTTTTAAAGAAGAAAAACTTAATGCTGATGGAAGTGTAAACAATTCTTTTAGGTGACATAACGCTTACTGTTTAGACTGTAATGAAATAAAAGGAGAAAGGTTTGCTAAGAAACCTCATAGATGATATTGTGAAAAAATTGAAGAATGATTAATAATTAATGAGTTAGCAGAAAAATTTGGAAGCAGTTATTATTTTACCGATTTTAAAAAGTTTCTAAAGAAAAATAATTATGATCATATTTGGGAAGATCTAAAGAAAGGTAAAATTGACGAAGAATATTTTGATGCTTTGGGCGGACAAATGATATTTCAGGAAGCTAGTGTTTGAATAGAAAATTTTTGTAGACAATTTAAAAAAGTGAAGGACAAGGAAAAAGACGACCCTAATGAGAGAGAGTGTGTGTGTGAGAGAGAGAGAGCGCAAATTAGATAAAAAATCTAATCGTGCTCCTAAAGAAGAACAAGAACTAACTAATTTAAGAAATAGACTAAAAGAATTTGAAAATAATACTGAAAATAAGCCTTTTAATTATTTTCCTTGAATAATTGGAGGTAGTGTTTTAGTGGTGGGAATAATTATCGTTGCTTTAATTCTTAACAAGGATAAGAAAATGCGTTATTATTAATTGTTTAGATCTAAGACTTACATTTTTATTATTTTATTAACTTTATTTAGAAATTAGCGTCGCGGTTAGAATGTTACGTCGCAATTAAAGTGCGATATCGCGGCTAGAATTCTAGATTGCAATAAAGTTATTACTAATTAATTTAACTGTATAAAAGAAGCTCAAATTCGACTTGCTTGTAAAATGACTTTAACTTGTAATAAAGTTTTAAAAATTAACTTTGAAATAAGCTAATAAATTAGTTTCGACTAAATAAAACGTTTTTCTTAAATCACTAAACCAAAATTATTCGCTAATAAAACTAATTCGTTTGTAGCCAATTCATTCTGATCCACATAATCTTAAATTTATATTGACATCATCAATTAACACGTTCTCCCAAAAAACAATTGGTGACATTAGTATAACAATTTCAGGTAAATTAATGAGAATCTATATATTATTTGCCTATGGTCAAAATATTAAGAAAATATCTAATGAGAATAACCTTAAAAATCAATCATTAGGTTCTTAGGTATTTATTTGCTTAAAGGTTAATTAATGATTGTATAAAAACTAGCACAAACAATAATAATACATATGATAATAAAAAAAAGCGATTTATATGGAAATAATAGTAGGAGTAAGAGTGGGGCTTTTGACAATTTAGAAAGTATCAAACGATTCTTGCCAAATAATTCTCTTCCGGAAAAAATAACTATAAATAAGATAAAGATATCTGAATGGAATATGCTAAATAATAAAATAGTAAATATTAATTTTTTTTACAAAGTAGTGTCCAAAGATAAATCATATTACTTAGTCGAAGGAATTGGAAAAGGAATAATTGAATCGGAAGATCGGCACGTATTAACTACAATTAATTTTGCAAATGGAGAGTATATAAAAACAATATCAGGGATGAATACTGGTGGAAGTGATTGCGAAATTAAACAATTTAGTTTTTTTACCTATAACTACTTAACAGGAGAAGAAAAAGTTTATGGACCTTATGGTGATATAAGAAGGGATCAGAGATTATATTCTTTTTCTATTTCTGAATCTGAATCTGATAGTGAGATTGTAGCTTTTTATGGCAAAAGTAGTTCGCATTTGGGTGCGATTGGCGCTTATACAAGAATTATCCAAGAACAGCAATCTCAAGTTGTTAAAGGTAAGGAGATTCAGGAATTGGAAAAAAGGGTATTTTCACTAGAACAAAAATTACAAAAACTAGAATTAGAGCAAGTAGCATAAATCCAAATGCCTCCTAAATAAAAAGATTAGTGAGTCAGTCCCTATCTAATATATAATAAGCATTTTCATTTCGTTTTTATTGTATTTAAGAGCAAAGTAGAAGACTAAATTATAAATAATTCATCTTTCTCCTTAAATATTGCTTAGGAAAAACACTAGTTCTTATTCTAGTCCTTTAAAAAATCCTCTAAAATTAAGCAATTTTTACTATCTAATTATTAAATACTCTAAAAAAAATAAACAAACTAGGTGAAATATTAATATCGAGAATTAAGAGCAAGTTTAATTCCTCACTTTTTCTCCATTTTGTTTAATGTTTTATTCTTTCATTAAATTTAACTTCCTTATTGATTTTGATTTCTTGGTTAACTGTTTCATCCAAAATCCTTTTTACTTCATTGCACTTACCTTGCAATTCTTTGCTTAAAGTAGATCGGTATATTGGAAACTTAGTACCATAAGGAACGCCAACAACATAGTCATCACTTTCAAAACCTTTTCTAAAAACCTCTTTCTTCTTCACTAGGAATACGCAAATTTCTCAATATCATTAATTTTGAACGAAAGCTAACTAGTTCTCTATCAATTTTGCCCGTAATAGAAACAAGGATATCTAATAATTTTTTAATTTGAGTTAAATTATCTGGACCCCCCTCAGGATTATCGATAATCATTAGGGTTAGTGATTTTTCTTTTTTCACCATTTTAGTATTCTGATTCTGCTATTATTTGGATTATCTTTGCAGGAACATAATAAGTCATCTTTCCTTCGATTATCCTTGTAATAACTGATTCTCCTTTTGTTAATAAATATTTTGAAACTTCCGATCATTTAGGATAATCTAGGTAAGGATTATCTGATAAATCAAATTGGTAGGTATAGGTTGTGCGATAAATCTTTAAGTAATCTTTTTTAAGACAACTGTTATCTATATTTGTTAATTCCTTTTCAACCTTTTCCTTAGTATAGCCAAACGAACAAACTTCGATTATATATTTGCCATTAATTTCTCTTACAGAAATACCTTTTCTCGTTGTCATGTGGTATAAGTGTGGTTTTAATTAAAAAGAACAGAAAATCAAAAAACTTGCTAAGGAGATAGAAGAAAGTTGAAAAATATAAAAAATATCTTCTTTAACAAACTAATTAAAAAAATCTCCTATCTTCGTACTTTTTTGTAATCATGCTTGCTGAGTTCAATGCCTCAAGCTTCATTATTCTCTCAAATAAAAAAAATTCTTCATGCTTCACTACCGGTTCTAATGCTTCAATAATTTTTAGTTCCTTCTTACTCACCGATTATTTTTAATTCTGGAAAATTCCTTAATTCATTCACCTTTTAAGTATTCTTCAACTTCTTTGTGTTTAAACTTTTTGTATTGTTTTATTTCAACCATTTAAAACTAGTGATTTAGTGAAACACTTCTTTATAAGGTTTAATTTTTGCTTGAGTAAAGAATATTGATTTTAGTCAAGTTTTTTTCAATTTGGTCGTTTTTAACTTGATAGTTTTACAACAACATCATTCATTCTCAATTATATTTAATTGGTGCCATATATTTTTTGAGTCCAAATTTTGCCTTATTAGCCACAATTTTTGGTGCCATAAAGTTTTGAACACCATATACAGTACTCCTGCAATTTTTTGGATGAAGATGTGCCTAAATGTTGTGATTTTGAATACCTGATGAAGATGCGTCCAGGCGTTACATTTTTGGATTCCGACACAGGAACTGGCCTCCATTTTGCCACATACTGACCTGTATTCGATTTTATTGGATGACTAAAGTGTTTGCACTCATATGCTTACTATCACGCTTAAAACCCTCTGAGGAAAACTAAGTCGCAAAAACAACACTTGATCTTTGAGCTTATTTGTCATTCATGGCATGTAGAGTTCCAATTCCAATTCCTTAATTACAACTTAAATTTGACTTGTTAACTCGAACTGGTTTACCATAGGAGCAACATTTGAAATGGAGGCATTCTTTGCAAAGGCAAATTCATTTCTCCTAAATGAATAAAAGTTTTACATATACGAAATAATATGTTGGATGATTAGGTATTAGGCTAATATTATATTTATAGAAAATAAAGAACATATTGATTACACAATGTCACAAGAATTTTCATCTGAAGTTAGTGAATCACATCACAAGTTTGTAGTATATCTACTTTACAACAAAGTTTTTATGATATTGAGGGTGGGTATATTTTTCAGGGCTGGCTGCGTAACTCAAATGAGCACTTGGCTAAACTGACTAAACTATTTAATCATATGTTAAGTCAAGTTTAGTCAAGATGATTATTACTAAATTAGGTTTTTAACTCCTTTACGCTGCTAGCCCTGGTATATATTTTTCCGCAAATTTTGGATCGGCGGCGATTACTCGTGACAATTTTGCCAAACCGCCAATAAAATTCAATAATTTTTAAAATATGCTGCGGTTGCTGTCGAATTTTGCGGAATAATACAAATGTTAAAAATTACAAATAATAAGTTAAAATTATCGTATTTATCTTTTACATCTATAACTTACAAGCATGTAACATAATTTCATAATTAAAAAATCCTTAAAAACATATATATTGTATATACATTTATACATTGTATTTTATATTTATATATTCTATATTCTAGACATTATTGATTTTATCATTTAATTCAATTTCATCATCTCGGGAAGACATAGATTCATGACTTATATTTGAATAATTTTTTAATGACAACCCTTCATTAATTATGTATTGAAAGAAATTGCCAAATACGCCTAAATTTAGCCCTAAAAAAATGATAAAAGTAATTTATCGAATTAATTAAAAATAATTCAACTAATTAGAAGATAAATAGAATTTTTTTTTTACCTAATAGAGCAATTATGGCTAAAAATTCATATTTATGCTATACATTTTATAAATCAAATTAATATTTTTCAAAAAAAATTTTTTTAAAAAAATTTAAAATAAACCCTTACATTCAAAAGGTCTGCTATCTTATCAATCAAGGCAGAAGTATATTGTAAAATAAACACTAAAATATAGGTCATAACTTTTTTGTAAACCTTTCTTTCAAGTTGATCTTTTAATAAACTATTGCTTATTGTTGTACCTTCGCTACCATTACTAATACTACTGCTATGATCAGCCTTTTTAATTAAAATTAAAACATAAAGATAACAAAATATTATAATCGATAATAATGATAATATTGACACAACAATCATCGTTGAAAAAATTTCATTACTTTCATCAGGTGCACACCTAAAAATAAAAATTTATTAATAAAAAAATTTTTTTTTAATATAAAGATTTAAAAATTTTTTACCAATATTTCTGTTTTGGAGTACCACGAACTGAAAGTGACATATCAATAACAGCTATTGAAAATACTGGTATCCATAATTTATAATCATACTTTCCAAAATCAATATTCACTTCTCTAACCACTCTCAACCAGGTAGTGACTGATATAGCAGTAACCAAATGTATAGTTAAAGCTGTTGAAAAAACTAATAATGAACTAATTACTTCACAAGCCGGAGATTCTAGAGGCTCTCTATAGGCTGCACCATACCCCTTTATAATATTATTAATTTATAATTTATTTATTTATTTATTTATTTATTATTCAAAAGAAATAATAAATATACACTCACGTGATTTATTAAAGAAACTAATGATACGAGAATATCTAATATTAAATTTTAATTAGAGTTTATTGGATTTATTAGAATTAAAATTAATCCTTCAATTCACTAATTTACCTGTCAAAGCAATATAATATGGAAATCTAAGTGACATAGGAATTGCTGAACGAAATTTCCTCCATCTTAGGTATGTACCTGAAACAAAATATTTCTCTTGTTAATAATCAATGTTTTTTTAAATCTTTGAAAATCAGAAATTTGTCTTACGTAAAATAATGTATGCACATCCAATAAAATTACAGATAATGATAACCAATGAAACTATAAGAACCGTGTAAATTAAATCTGGCGCATTATTATTATTATTATCGGTATTTGAATCAGTGTCGTTTGATGCTGGCAAACTGTATGCAAATGGTATTTGCGTTAATTCTAGAATTAAAAATATTTTATTGATATTCGAGGTTTTCAATAGCATTTTATAAATTTATTGATTATTCATAATATTTTCGTTTTTTGATATTTTATAAATGAACGTGAAGGATAATTTTCGCTGTGAGAAAAAAAGCGAGCCATTTTTATTTTTTTTTTATTCACAATATTATGTAATCGAAATTATTTTCTTTGTAATCTGAAGAATAGCACGGCTCGCTAATGATAGTAAATAAAGAAAAATCAAAATAAAGATTGGTTTTAATTAAAAACTTACAAATCGACAAATATTTGTTATTTCATCCATACAATAATTTGTAATTATTATGTAATTCAATTTGTGTTTTCATTGCTCTAATTAAAAAGGCAACTCTACTGTCTCCACCAATTGTATTATAGTTTGACATGACCCAAAACATTATTTTAGAACCGGTTTTTTCAGTAGGATGTAAAAACACTCACTTAATTTGCATGTGTGACGTAGATCCCATTACGCAATCGAATTCATTGAATTCATATATAGTAGCATAATGGACTGGGGTTGGTCACAATGGTTGATCATCAAACATAGTTCAGGTCAATATAGAAATTTATTATATGCGGATTTTTTAAT